CCGAAAACATGACAAACCTTTCCTTGTCGACCTTGAAGGAGAAGTAAGTGAATGAAGGTGTCGATCAGTCAGGGCTAAAACAACGAGAAAAAATGACGAAAGTCAAAATGCCCGCGATGGAGTTTGGAAGAACTTGAGCCGGAAAGACCCTGTATTCAGTAAACACACTCCTAAACTCCGGCCATAGGGGCAACCGGAGACCGTACTTAAACTAATCTTGGTAGAACACCATATCAAAGCCTGCATCATCTGTTGGGTGCCTTGAGACGGACATCCTGCAGAGGGTGATCTGCGCACCTAGCATAAAGCGCTCCTGAAGACTCTTCACATCCTAGTAAGTCAAAGAAAAGGAATCGGTCACCCTCACGATGCCAATGAGAACTAGAGAATACTTTGAAGCCATCGCAACTGAACGAAAAGAATGGAGGAAAATGAAGGAAAAGAAATTAGAAAACTCGGAGAATAAAATACATAAGCGGAATGAGGCAACACCTAACTCTATTTATAAGACAGGCGTGCAAACCGAAGAGCTGCAAAAAGATAGGTGTCGTATCAATTGTCATTTCGTATTCCTCAAATTATTATTTTATAAAAAATAATCATTTTAGGTTTTAGAAAACATGCTTAATAAATGGGTCCTTTGTGGCTTCAGACGAGGCATGCCCCTTCTCAAGCAACCTCTGAAGGTCCATCTTTCCACTAAGCCTAATCCGCTCCATCCGACAAGCCTCACTATGGAACCGACTCAGAACTACCAAACCGTGGATGGATCCCATCTCAACTCTGGCGTCGTTCAAGGAACCTAACAACAACGCTACTTCTCTCTCTAGTCGGTGGATGATATCATCATTGGACTCAGCGGCAGCAACAGGAACCGAGTCGACCACATCTCTTGGTGGCCCACCTCCCTTGACATCATGTTTCGACTGACTTATCTGTGTTTAAAAGGAATATTAAGTTACTTTGCCAGACAAAGTCAAAAGAAATTCCTTACATACCCATGAGCCTCTCAAGCTCCGAACCAGTCAAGGGATGACCTTCCTTTCCCACCATGGTGCCTCCTCTTTTCCCTCCCGGGGTAGCAACAAAGGATCAAACGCCACCTCTACCCTCGGGCTCCTGCGATTGTCGGCAGCCTTTTCCCCCTACGGGGTCAATGGGTCAACCACAACCCTGACATCGCTTGGACTAGAACCCGTTGGTGAGGCCTTTTGGGCCCATCGGAAGAAGCAACCTGGTCGACCGATTCAGGACCGGTCGTATCTCGCCTTCTTTTTTTGTACCACCTTTTTCTTTTTCGGGACATATGTCGGAGTAGGTGGATACCCCACCAAGGCCAGTATCTCGGGTCGACTGTATTGTTGCTCGTGCCGCTCAACATAAAACCTACTTAGCAACCAAAGAAATGTTGGTAAATGATGAAGATCCCAACTCCTGACCATATTTACAGGAAAATAAAGGAAGAACTAAACATTAAATTTTTTTAATTTTCGTGACACTGTTAAGATAATAATTTTCTTGTTCTTATCGCAGTTATTGCCACCAAGGAGCAAAAAAATTTGGGTAACTGATATGTATATGCTAAAAGCGCCGGCATGAATCTCAAGAAGAACGAATGACCAAAAATAAAAAGCTTCCTCGAATGGTAAACATTTGACAGACTAGTCATGGCCAAGCAAGTGAATCCGTGTCTGCAAATAATGGCATCCGGCTGAGGTGACGAACTGACCCGATAGACGAGACTTAGGCCCCATATTACTTGAGTCAAAACGACAAGTGAGCCGCGGTTCACCCGACAAAAACAAATCAACTCATCAGTCAACTTCCGACCGACCAAAGCGTAGGCAGAAATCCCCTGATCGTGATTGGACACCCCTTCTCTTTGTGCAATAGCTGAATGAGATCACTCAATTATGGTTAACTCGTCAGTCGCTGTGTCCTAAACAACGACCACTCTATCATAAATAGAAGTTATAAATTGCTCGATACCAGAACACACAACATCAAGGATGGTACATGTCATAAAGGACTGACGGAATGGACCAACCTTTAACTTCTATCGCTGCTTTTCCTTTGTCATGTTTGCTCTCGCAGCTTCGTTGGTTTCTAAAGCCCTCCAGTCACCCGGGGTCATCCTCCCTTCCCATTACCTAGTTCATTGTTCTTTTTGCGGAATACTGTGGGACCGATATCAGACTCTCTTTGAACACCTCATGGACGTCCTACATATTGGCAGGTAAGGCCCCCGGCTTGCTATTTTCCACCTACTGCAAGTGAGTGGCAATCTTCCAGTCGTCGGATGTAGAACCGACCAAGAGTTTTTAACGTCAGACCTTGATCTTATTCTCAATGTCGAGCAAACACAGTTTTTGCCCACCCAAAAACATGACAAACCCTTCCTTGTCGACCTTGAAGTAGAAGTAAGTGACTAAAAGTGTCGGTCAATCAGGGCTAAAACAATGACAAAACACTACGAAAGTCAAAATGCCCGTGATGGAGTTTGGAAGAACTTGTGCCGGAATGACCCCGTATTCAGTAAACACACTCCTAACCTCCGGCCATAGGGGCAACCGGAGACCGTACTTAAACTAATCTTGGTAGAACACCATATCAAAGCCCTTATCATCTGTTGGGTGCCCTGAGACGGACATCCTGCAGAGGGTGATCTGCGCACCCAACACAAAGCGCTCCTGAAGACTCTTCACATCCTACTACGTCAAAGAAAAGGAATCGGTCACCCTCACGGTGCCAATGAGAACTATAGAGTACTTTGAAGCCATCGCAGTTGAACGAAAAGAACGGAGGAAATGAAGGAAAAGGAATTAGAAAACTCGGAGAATAAAATACATAAGCGGAATGAGGCAACACCTGACTCTATTTATGAGGCAGGTGTGCAAACCGAAGAACTGCAAAAAGATAAGTGTCGTATCCTATTCCTCAAATTATTATTTTATAAAAAATAATCATTTTAGGTTTTAGAAAACATGCTTAATAAATGGGTCCTCCGTGGCTTCAGACGAGGCATACCCCTTCTCAAGCAACCTCTGAAGGTCCATTTCTCCACTAAGCCTAATCTGCTCCATCCGGCCAACCTCACTATGGAATTGACTCAGAACTATCGAACTGCGAATGGATCCCATCTCAGCTCTAGCATCGTTCAAGGAACCTAACAACAACACTACTTCTCTCTCCAGCCAATGGATGATATCATCAAAGGACTCAGCAGCATCAACAGGAACCGAGTCACATCTCTTGGTGGCCCGCCTCCCTTGACGTCATTTGTTCCGACTGAAACATCTGTGTTTAAAAGGAATATTAAGTTACTTTTTCAGACAAAGTCAAAAGAAATTCCCCATGAGCCTCTCAAGCTCCGAACCAGTCAAGGGATGACCTTCCTCTCCCGCCATGGTGCCTCCTCCTTTCCCTCTCGAGGCATCAACAAAGGATCAAATGCCACCTCTACGCTCGGGCTTCTGCGATTGTCGGCAGCCTTTTCCCCCTACAAGGTCAATGGGCTAACCACAACCCTGACCTCGCTTAGACTAGAACCCGTCGATTTCTAGTGCCTTGTTGGTGAGGCCTTTTGGGCCCATCGAAAGAAGCAACCTGGTCGACCGATTCAGGTCCGATTGTATCTCGCCTTTCTTTTTCGAGACATATGTCGAGGTAGGTGGATACCCCACCAAGGCCAATATGCTCGGGTCGACTGTCTTGTTGCTCATGCCACCCAACATAAAACCTACTCAGCAACCAAAGAAATATTTGTAAATGATGAAGAACCCAACTCCTTGCTATATTTATACGACACGTCATACATGAAAATAAAGAAAGAACTAATCATTAATTTTTTTAAATTTATGTGACACATTTAAGATAGTAATTTTCTTGTTCTTATCGCAGTTATTACCATAAAGGAGCAAGAAAATTTGGGGAATTGATATGTATATGCTAAAAGCACCGGCATGAATCTCAAGAAGAATGAATGACCAAAAATAAAAA